GGAGTTCGTTGAGTGTATCCGTGATAGTTTTCTTGAACAGTATGTAATGGAACCGACGATGGAGTAAGCTATCCTAGATCTGGTCCTTGTAATGAGACAGGAATTATTAATGACCTCATAGTTAGGGATCCTCTTGGAATGTTGAATTTAGAATACAGATGGAGAGTGTGAAGATAAAATCCAATACCAGGGTCCTGTGCTTGAACAAGGGGAACTACAATAGAATGAGGGAGGACTTGGCTAAAGTAGACTGGAAACAAAGATTTTATGGTGTGGCAGTTGAGGAGCAGTGGAGGACTTTCAAAGCAATTTTTCAAAGTGCTCAGCAAAAGTATATTCCAGTGAAAAGGAAGGACTGTAAGAAAAGGGGTAATCTGCCATGGGTGTCTAAAGAAATAAGGGAGGCTATCAAATTGAAAGAGAAGGCATACAAAGTGGCCAAAAACAGCATGAAACTAGAAGATTGGGAAAACTTTAAAGGTCAACAGAAAGCCACAAAAAGAGCTATAAAGAAAAGCAAGATAGAACATGAGAAAAAACTAGCACAGAATATAAAGACAGATAGCAAAAGTTTCTATAAATATATAAAACGAAAAAGAGTGGCTAAAGTAAATGTTGGCCCTTTAGAAGATGAGAAGGGGAATTTAGTTATGGGAAATGATGAAAAGGCCAAGGCATTGAACAGGTATTTTGTATCGGTCTTCACAGTGGAGGACACTAATAACATGCCAGTAATTGACAAAGAGACGAAGGTAGGTGAGGACCTGGAAACAGTTAATATTACGGAAGAGGTAGTGTTGGGCAAGCTAATGGAGCTAAGGATTGATAAGTCTCCTGGCCCTGATGGAATGCTTCCAGGGTGCTAAAAGAGATGGCGGGAGAAATAGCAGGTGCACTGGCGGTAATTTTCCAAAATTCGCTGGACTCTGGGGCAGTCCCAGCAGATTGGAAAACAGCAAATGTGACGCCACTGTTTAAAAAAAGAAGTAGACAAAAGATGGGGAATTATAGACCAGTTAGCTTAACCTCTGTAGTGGGGAAGATGCTTGAGTCTATTATCAAGGAAGAAATAGCAAGGCATCTTGATAGAAATTGTCCCATTGGGCAGACGCAGCATGGGTTCATGAAGGGCAGGTCATGCTTGACAAATCTTTTGGAATTCTATGAAGACATTACGAGCAAGGTGGACAATGGGGACCCAGTGGATGTAGTGTACCTAGATTTCCAAAAGGCCTTTGACAAGGTGCCGCCCAAGAGGCCACTGCATAAGATAAGGATGCATGGCGTTAAGGGTAAAGTATTAGCATGGATAGAGGATTGGTTGACTAACAGAAAGCAAAGAGTGGGGATAAATGAGTGCTATTCTAGCTGGCAGTCAGTGACTAGTGGTGTGCCTCAGGGATCGGTGTTGGGACCGCAATTATTTACAATTTGTATAGATGATTTGGAGTTGGGGACCACGTGTAGGGTGTCAAAGTTTGCAGATGACAATAAGATGAGTGGCAGAGCAAAGTGTGCAGAGGACTGTGAAACTTTGCAGAGGAACATTGATACATTGAGTGAGTGGGCAAAGGTCTGGCAGATGGAATACAATGTAAATAAATGTGAAGTCATACATTTTGGTAGGAGTAAAAGTAGAAAGGATTATTACTTGAATGGTAAAAAGTTGCAGCATGCTGCTATGCAGAGGGACCTGGGTGTCCTTGTGCATGAATCACAGAAGGTAGGTCTGCAGGTACAACAAGTAATTAGGAAGGCAAATGGAATTTTGTCCTTCATTGCTAAAGGGATTGAGATTAAAAGCAGAGAGGTTATGCTGCAGCTGTACAAGGTGGTGGTGAGGCAACACCTGGAGTGCTGTGTGCAGTTTTGGTCTCCTTACTTGAGAAAGGATGTACTGGCACTGGAGGGGGTGCAAAGGAGTTTCACTAGGTTGATTCCGGAGTTGAGGGGGTTGGCTTATGAGGAGAGACTGTGTAGATTGGGATTATGTTCATTGGAATTCAGAAGATTGAGGGGGGATCTTCTAGAAACATATAAAATTATGAAGGGAATAGATAAAATAGAAGTAGAGATGATGTTTCCACTGGCAGGTGAAGCTAGGGCAAGAGGGCATAGCCTCAAGATTAGAGGGAGCAGATTTAGGACTGAATTGAGAAGGAACTTCTTCACCCAGAGGGTTGTTAATCTTTGGAATTCCTTGCCCAGTGAAGTAGTTGACGCTACTTCAGTAAACGTTTTTAAAGATAAGGTAGATATTTTTTTGAACAATAAAGGAATTAAGGGATACGGTGAGAATGCTGGTAAGTGGATCTGAGTCCACGAAAAGATCAGCCATGATCTTATTGAATGGCGGAGCAGGCTCGAAGGGCCGGATGGCCTACTCCTGCTCCTAGTTCTTATGTAACATAACATCCCAGCTCCTATACTTGGCGCCTCAACCAATGAAGGCCAGCATACTAAATGCCTTCTTCACCACTCTGTCTACCTGTGACACCACTTTCAATGAACTATGTCCTCGTACTCCTACATCCCCCTGTTCCACAACACTGCTCGAGACCTTATCATTTACTGTGTAAGTTCTACCTTGGTTTGACTTTCCAAAATGTAACACCTCACACTTTTCTGTATTGAACTGCATTTACCAATCCTCAGCCCACTTCCCCATTTGATCAAGATCCCTTGTAATTTTTGATAACCTTCCTCGCTATCAACAATACCTCTTAATTCTGTATCATCTGCAAATTTACTAGTCTTGCCTTGTACATTCACACGCAGATAATTTATGTAAATAACAAAGGTCCCAGTACCAACCCCTATGGCACACCACTAATCACAGGCCTCCAGTCCAAGAAACAACCTTCAACCATCACCATCTGCTTCCTACCATTGAGCCAATTTTGAATACAATTAGCTAGCTCTCCCTGGATCCCATGTGACCTAACTTTCATGACTAGCCCTGTGGCCTTGCCAAAGGCCTTACTAAATTCCATATAGACAACATCCACTGCCCTACGCTCATCCATCCTCTTGGTTACCTCTTCGAAAAACTCTAAAAGATTTGTCAGACGTGACTTCCCGCACACAAATCCATGCTGATTATCCCTAATCAGACCTTGACTATCTAAATATTGGTTGATCCTGTCCCTCAGTATCCCTCCAATAACTCATCTACCACTGGTGTCAGGCTCACTGCTGTAGTTCCCTGGCTTGTCTTTGCTACCTTTATTATTCAATGGAACAACATTAGCCACCTTCCAGTTTTCTGGAATTTCACCAGTGGCTAAAGATGAAGCAAAAATCTAAACAAGGGCCTCTGCAATTTCTTCCCTAGCCTTCCACAATGTCCGAGGATGGATTTGATCAGGCCCAGGGGATTTATACACCTTAATTTTATCTAAGACTGCAAACATCTTCTCTCTGGTAATGTGAATGCGGTCCAAAACATCCCCATTTGTTTCCCTTATTTCCTTAGCATCCATGATTCTCTCCTCAGGAAACACTAAGGAGAAATATTCATTAAAACATTTCCCCCATCTCCCGTGTCTCCACACATAGATGGCCATGCTGATCTCTAAGGGGACGTTTTCTCTCCCCAGCCACCCTTTCACTCTTAACCCAGCTAAAGAACTTCTTGGGATTGTCTTTAACCTTATCTGCCAGATGAATCTCATACCCTCTTTTTGTTTTTCAGATTTCCCTCTTAAGTGTGCTCCTACACTTTTTATATTCATCTGGGGATTCACTTGAGCCCGATAGCTTCAACCTAATATATGCCTTTTTCTTTTTCCTGACCAGACCCTCAATATCCATTGTCACTGTTCACCCTCACAGGGATATTCTGTCCCTGGACTCTTGATGTCACACTTCTAAAAGCCTCCCATTGCCAGTTGTTTCTTTTCCTTCAAACAGACTCACCCAGTCAACCTCTGCTGGATCCTGCCTAATGGCCCCAAAATAGGTCCTGCTCTAGTTTAGCACCTAAACCTGTGGACTCATCCTATCCTTTTCCAAACTATGTCAAAACTAAAAGAGTTGTGGTCCCTGACTGACACTTCAGCCACTTGTCCGACCTTGTTTCCTAAGAGGAGGTCTAGTGTTGCACCCTCCTGAGTAGGGCCCTCTACATATTGATTTAGGAAACATTCTTGGACATGTTTGACAAATTTCACCATGTCTGAGCCTTTTACAGTCTGGATGGCCCAGTCAATACAGGAGAAATTAAAATCAACCAATACTACTCTGTTCTTCCTCCAGGTATGTGCAATCTCTCTACACATCTGTTCCTCTAGTACCTGCTGGCTGGTTTGGGGGTCTATAATACAGTCCTAATAGAGTGACAATCCTGTTCTTGTTTCTAAGTTCTAAGCATATGGCCTCATTTGATGACTCTTAAGAATATCCTCTCTAAGCACTGTTGTTATGTCTTCCCTTATCAAAAGAGCAACTCCCCCTCCTTGCTTACTTGTACTTCTGTCACACCTATACCTTCTGTATCCTGGAACATTGAGTTGCTGTCTCACGGAGGGTGTCCTGCAGAGGTCTTCTGGACAGTCATAATGACTGTGATGATGTCTCCCAGAATTCTGCTGTGATGACTCTCAGCCATCCTCTGATTGAAAGCAGTATTCTAAAAGTGGCCTCCCCAGTGTCTTGTACAGCTGCAACCTGACACCCCAACTCCTATAGTTTATGTAATAAAGGCAAGTATGCCGAACACCTCCTTCACCACCCTGTCTACCTGCGATTCACTTTCAAGGAACTATGCACCTGCACCCCTACATCCCTTTGTTTGGCAACACTCCCTAGAGGCCTACCATTAACTGTATAAGTCCTGCCCTGATTTCTCTTACCAAAATGCAACACCTCACTTTATCAAAATTAAACTCCATCTGCCACATTTCTTGAGAATCTGGGATAAAAGTAAGGAAGGACACAGCTGAAGTGATAATACAGCTTCATGATGTCAGTGTAATATTGTTCTCTGATCTTTTTTGCAGGTATTCCACTCCCCATCATTATGGCCTGGTCAGTGGCAAAACTATACTATGAAAATGAGCAGTAAGTTCTATACAATACTGGATGATCATTCTTAGGGAAACTTTGTGTAGCTTTATTACAGAACTGTTTTTGTTTCAGATTTCCAGCATCCAAGGTTCTTTATTTTGTCTGTTAACTGTCTGTCATCATCTAACTGGTACATTTCCATGACAATACCTTACAAATCAGTCAACCTGTGACCAATGAGCATCCTTCTCTCATACAATCCAAGTCATTTTCCCTTTTCTTCTCCATTTCTTGTGAACTGTCCTGATGGGAGTATGATTAAAAAAACTTCAACAAGTGGTGCAATAGTTAAAAGTGAGGGCAGTAAGATCATGTCTGAAAGTGAACCTTAAGAGGTTTCAACGAAAATTTCTATAGGATGATATAGTTATATGATTATTATGTAGGATGGTAATAGCCTACAGACTCAAGTCCTGGTTCTATCTATGGACCAGTCCAGACCCCATCAAAGTATTTTAAGAAAGTGACCAAAACACAATTTATTTAAACACTATAGTTGAAATACAACAAAAAGAAGAAGATGATACAGTGTGGAGCTGGAGGAACACAGCAGGCCAGGC